ATAACTTCGCACAATTGAGCATGCCGACAACGGGCAGCCAGGAAAGTTGAAGGAAAAAAATAAAGGAAAATAAAGAGTAGTGGCCACAACTCCCAACTTGGGCATTCTATTAAATTAATCGTCAATTATCAACGGAGCTGCAAATTATCTAGGCCTATGGGGAGCAAACAGCTGAAAGCAGGATGCAACAATGCACCTCGAAAATGGTGTGGAAAAAGCCATTACACTTGGTAGACTAAATTATGTGTGGAAATAGCATTGCGGCATTTGCCACCATATAAACAAAAATAAATAATACCTATAACCTTTAGTTAAATTAATCTTCAAATAAAAAATAACAGTGTTTCCCCTATTTTAATATTTTTTTGGACTGAAAGGGGAACGTCTTTATCAATCTCTTTGAGCTTACAAATTAACTTACCAAAAAATCAATAAATTTACAAAAAATTTAAACGATAACCTTTAGTTAAATTAACCTCCAAATAAGATTATTTAAAATGTTTCCCTGTTTTACTACCCTGCTGTACAAAAAGGGCCAACTCTTTATCAACCTATTCCGGCTAACAAATCAATTAAACTTGTGCACTCGGGTCTAATGAAGCTACCGAAAAACTATTGCCAAATTTTTAGAGGGCCAAGGATCCGCCCCCCGGAAAGTGAAGCAAAAGCGAGCTTTACATGCAATTGGGCTTGAGCAAACGTCGGAACGAAACGTAACGGCCAACTTGTTCGCGTTCGCTTGTTCAATGTGTTTAATTAAATAGCAAGCGTAATTAAATTGCAATTAAATGAATTAAAAAGCACGCAGCCGCAGCACGTTAGCAAACGGTTCGGTTGCCCACTCCTCTTCCTGTTGCTCCTGAATTTGAGTTTCTGTTCCTGTGCTCCTGTGTTCCGAAGAGGATATTTTTGAAGAGGGTTTTTCCCGCTTGCCATTCAGTTTAGGGTCCAAAACGGATGGCAGGCGGTGTGAAAGGAAAACAAAACAAAAAATACAATGTTGCCCTGGACATGGTTTCCCTTTTGGCCCAACCCCAACTTTTCAACCGCCCCACCATTTTCACCAATTTCCTCATTTTCCCTTTGCTGCCGCGCACAATTAGACTTTAATTTTTTATGAGCAATGAATGGTTTCGCAGTTTTACTTTTTGGTGTTAAATGCTTGATTAAGTTGAACGGTGAAAGCTATGCAAATTTTCCCCCTTTTCCAGCTCGAGTTGGAAAATTGGCTGCTTTGATGTTGCTGCTTCGTGGGGGATGGTTGGAAAACTCCATAACAATTCCCTCTTTTTGTCTTAATTAGTGCAATGACAAAAGTTTAATTCTAGCCCCTGGAAAATGCAGGCCCAAGATGTATGCAGATATTGAAGAAAATGCGGGCCAATGAAAGAAAAATCACTCAAGCTGCTAAAGATTTTACCAAAATTAATTGGCCAAAGGGTTTTTCGGAGGGGGGATGGTAATGGAGATCTACATGAAATCTGTCAAAGTTTGTGGGGGTCGTAACTTTTGGCTAAGTCAACAATAAACTAAACTTGCTTCTTGTAAATAGAGTTAGGGGTTGAATTCAAAAGTAGCTTCAAGATTTCCGGCATGAGTTTAAATATTTTTATGGAATTACACATTTTCTTGAAAATTAGTTACGGATATAACCACTGGTATTTAATTTATGGCATTTCTTGGAGATATGAAACCAAAACCATAATTCCCACAAACATGATTTATATTTGCCCATTAATTTCAATTCAGGGGCAGCACATAATCGAAAGTAAATGAGCAGCAAGACCAGACCAGACCAGACCGACTGACCAATTTCCTACAAAAGTTCCGCCATAATGGGCGACTTAAATCAACAATAATAAAGCCACACAGCACGTAGGCAAAATGAACAAATTGAATTGCGGCAATTACTTGCCACGCTACGCAAAATCCAAGAAAAGCCAAGGAAAGGGGCAAAAGACAATCCAAACTCATGACTCAAGTTCATAAAAATGAAATCATGCCACAGCTCAGGCAGAAGATCAAAGAGGACAAATCAATAAAGGCCCCAGTGCAGAAATAACTTAAAGTCAAGCAAGTCAGCCAAGTCAGTCGGTCGTCGGTCGTCGGTCAGGAAGAATAAAACACAGAGGGAATATACAGGAGACGACCCCAAAACCGAACCAACTTGACCTGGTCAAGGCTAAAGGCACATAAAATAAAATTATACAACGGCGAGGAGGGAAAACTAAAGCAAACTGTCTTTTGATCTATGGTGGCTTCAGATGAAGATGATGATGATGTTGGATGATGAGGATGGCTGGATGGCTGGATGGTCAGATGGCTGAATGGCTGGCTCATCCGACAATGTGGAGCAACCTCAACGACCAGTATCCCCAAGTAAATTGGCATAAGAAATCAGAAATCACAGAAGGCTGCTCCTCGGACTCTGAGATAAATGGTCATGGCTTCTTCGGCCAAGAGCACCGAATGCAATATTAAGTAAATATACAAAACGTTGTCGGCACGGCGCACAAAACTAATGATGTCGATGAAGCTGGGGGAAAATATCTGGCGATGCCTCTCCTCCTGCTGCTGCTGCTGCTGCTGCCAGGGAATCCAACAACCAACTTCAGCTTGTGTTCAGCCTGATAATGATGCGGCAGACAGGCCAAGATACAAACAGACAGGAGAGACTCGAAGTGGAAGACGTCGGCTGGACACTGGCGATATACACACGCCAGGTAATAAATTTCATTTCTCAGCTGATATGGGCAATTAAGGAACAATTTTGCAGCTGAATGAGTAATAAATAAAAATTGTATGCCAGCGATATATACGCAGATACAAAACTGCAAGACGTCGACGGTTGTCGGTTGTCGGTCGTCAGGCCCCCAAAGATAGTTTTCGGGATAAAAATACTCGCGAAGGAGGACTGGCTGACTGCCCGACCGAATGAATGAATGAATGAGTGAGGGACTGAAACTGAAACTGAGACTCCTCTGCATGCCTGCCCTTTTGATGAAAACAACTCAATGACGTGATTTGTGCCGCCAACGTTGCGGGCATTCCATCCTTAATACCCCATCCTTTTGCAAAATCTTGCCTCATATAAATAAATCACATTTCACTGGACTGATGTGCAAAATTCCTCGTCTTCGTCTCTGCTGAAAAGGGTTCTCGTCTTCTAAGATTTCTTCGTTTTTGGGGGGCCATAACTTAAAGCTGCGAAATATTTTTGCATAATAAATCAAACTTCCGCCGGGGCTGCCGCTTTATCTTTAGCCTTTTTCCCATAGCTTCAAAGAAGTCCATCAAATGTTGCCATTTATCCGGCAACTTGTCTGCTCTTTGGCATTATTTTAATTACACTCAAGCCGGGGCTCCCAAATGCAAAAGGCTGGCAGCAATAAAACCAGAACCCAGAACCTGAAGCCAGAAGGCTAAAGGTATTTTTTAAATGCTCCCTTGCACTGGGAAAAATCAAGGAGACATTCAGGTAAATATAATATATATTATAATTATTTGAACAACATGAAATATTTCAGTGTTTCATTTAATAATTTTATACCCTTTTATATTATTCAATATCTGTTAAATATTTTCTTAGTAAATCTAATTTTCAGTGCACTTTGTGGATTTGCTGGTCAGAAAATGAAACATTTTCGGGGCCATCGGTGCCTTTTTGGTAACACATGATATGTCGCCTACCTGGGAGATGCTTTGGCCAGGAGTTGGAGTTGCAGTTTCTGGGATTCAGGGACTCGGGGATTGCAGGAGATTCAGGGTACTTGGATGAGGGGCACAAAGAGTAAAGCACTCGCTGAGTGGAGAACAATGGAGACCGGCATGGAGCAACATGACACTCGAGTCTCGAATCTCGAGTCCGAGGATAAGGGGTTATACAATATACTCGCAGCACTGTGAAGCCAAAGCTAAAAGCTTCCCCCATTCCCATACAAAAGGCGGCCACTGGTCAGCGGAGAGTTGGTGTTGAGCACTTGGATCTGGATGAGAGGAGACCGGAGACCTTAGTCCAAAGACCGAAGGTGGAGTTGGCTGCTTTGCCTCTGATTAAATGTTCTCCATTTTACTGTCAAGTGCGGACCGGACCGGACCGGGTTGACATTTGCCAACGATGCAACTGCCCCTGGGATCCCCATTCCGATTCCCGTTCCCGTTCCCATTCCCTGGCAGTAGTAGTATTCCTTTGCCCTCCTCCATTATTTGATTCTGCTTCGCATGTCGAGAATTTTAATTTAAGTATGTAAACTGACATTGAATAGTTTTTCGCCAGGGAGCACCAGCCAGCTCGCTCGCTTCCCTTTTGTTGTGGGCGGTAAATGGAACCACTGGGTTCAACCGGAACCCAACCCACAAATAGTGCAGGGGGTTATATTCCATAGTTTAAGGGGACCGGGCGAGTGCAATTTCAGTTTTGTTTGCAATTGGATTTCGTAATAGAAAGCTCGGGACAAAGTTTTGCTTGCAGCGGGTGTATGCGGGGCGTTATTTCAACATGCTGGATTGAAAGTTTTATGACAGGCAGGGGCGGTTACTTTTTAATAGATATTTAAACCCTAGCCTCGGATTCTGTATCAGCCAGGGGAGTCGAATTTGGCATGTTAATGATGCTCGGCACCAGTATTTCAAGTCGAATTTGGTGTAGCTCAACTTTAGTTAAGGGTGATAAAGAGTTCTAGGGGCTTAAATGTCATTAAAAAAGGTATACGAGAGTTATAACATAAGCCTATCTTGTGGGTCAAGTTTTTTTTATAGCTACCGGTGCTCTGCCACCACACTTTCGGCGCACATATTTTAGAAACTTCAATGAAATCTGTGGAAAATTCTGAATGACTTTAGGTTTAGAGGATGATAAAAACGTATACCAATGGTTATCACCGGACTATCTTTTGTGTTTAGGGATTTTTCCCTGCCTAAGCTCTGCCGCCACTCTTTCGGCACACATTTTTTTTAGAAAAACTTAGATTAAATCTGGAAAAAATATCAAAAACACTTACCGGTGTTGAGTATGGATGCGCTGTGAGACGGACTCCGTCCGTTTCCAGCTGCTCCCGCAGGACGAGCTCCAGTTCATTGCTGGGTGGTGTTTCGCAGAGGATCTCCATGCTGCCCGACAGCGAGTTAGGATCGTTGAGCATAAAGTACACGGATGCAGCGCCCTTTTCCCTCAGCGATCGTATGCTCTTCAGCAGCTTGTGTCGATGGGCAGGATTCTCGACGCCAATGGCGTCCAGATCGGGATCACCGACCTGTTTGCAGATCTCCAGGTCGTCGTAGCCATTGTCCAGGAAGCTCTCGGCATATTGGGCCAGGCCCAAAGCTCTTAGCCACTCGCAGACAATATTGCTGACGGCCATAATGATGATGAGGTGTGAGTGTGTATGGTTTCTGGGTGATTCCTGGTTAGTATCTGGGGTGATTCCTTTACGTAAGGAGCTGTGCTGCTTACGTGTGCCCTGCCAATTACTGTTACAAAATGGCGTCTATTAGTTTCGCTGTATTGGTGTGTGTGTGCGCGCGTCACGTGCTCCGGGGGGCGTTCAGTGCCACGCCTCCTGCTTGCATGCAATTTCCGTTGCCACTTTAAGCTATTGTATTGTTTTAAATCGTCCTCCCTGGAGCATTTTCTCTAATTTTTCTTTGTTTCCCCCGCCCCCAGACAATCGTAAAAATTCAACGCGTACACTCATAAAAATTTATATCGCACTTTGAGCATTTTTAGCATAATCCCAGAAGGCACCAGCGCTGGTTTATCCTCACATTTTGTTTGGCGCCGCCGCTGCTCCGCATGGCTCCTGCAAAAATGGATAAAGGAAAAAAATGTTGGAATTTTAGTAGTCAGCGCGAAAAGCGTTTATTTTCAATAATTTAGAGAGAGCGGCCGGAAAATTGCATAAATTTGAAATGGCTGGCCGCATATGGTGAGCCCGCATATGTCTATGCAAAATAGATGATATAACCTAACCGAAACCAACCCCTCTCCGCCGCTCCGGAAAATCTGGTTTTCCCACCATAATATATCTCGCACAAATCAATAGAGCCCGCGGCTATTGCCACAATTGATGTTGATGACGTTGCACAGCCGAGATTCAAATCAGACTCGGAGAATGCTAGAAAATTAATTAAATCCAGTAGTAGCAGCAGCAGCAGCTGCGGTTTGTTCAACTGAACGCCCTCACTTCAATTCACCACCCCAATCGGAAATTCCCACAATCTTTTGGCTGGGAACTTCTTATCTAGGTAAAGGGCTTATAATGCGTGCATTCCTGCTCATGCTCACATATCACTCCATCATACCATATATATATAGATTCGAATGGGAACCCCTACCCAAAACTTGCTTCCGCTTTGGAGAATCCATGAGGCGTTAAACGCAAACTAAAAGCTTATACTCACACACACAGGCGATACTTTTCTGGAAAGGCGTGTGCCGCGCTTTTGGCCCCCTCGCTCATTGATAAATGATTGATTATCAATCCATTCATGGGCTGTGTGAGTGGGTGTGTTGTGGGCGCCCTGCGGTTTCCCCTGGCTTAGCGCTAAAGTTCTGTGTTTGCTTTTAGTTTATCTTTAATGGATTATTTTAGTGGTAGCTTGGCTCGTCAGCGAGCAGCCGCAAGTAAAAAAGGAACGTATAAAGATGTACAGCTAAGGAACTTGAGATTCCCATTAAAGAAAGACTACAATTCCAAAAAAAGATATAAAAATAAGGAAAGCATCTAAAGATACAATGAATTATTAACACAATTAAAACATTAAAAAAGCAGCTCTATAAATTTCTTCAATTAAAATATCATTAAATTCCATGCAATACATTAATCCCCAAAATATAACCCTTCATAGATCCCAAACTATCGGAAACCCAATATACCCTTTCCCGTTTGTAGTTACCAGGTATAATCGTTCCCATAATCCAGAAGGCCTCGCCCAATCTCACCACCCCCACACCTTTCGAGTTAAGGACAAACATATCATATAATTTATGTTCCAGTCCCCAGAATCGGATTCAGAACCACCCACCCACCTCTTTTCCCCATGACTAAGCTGATTTCTTGTTTTTTCAGTCGCTCTTCCCTAGTTTTTCTTTACTTTTGTGGCTGCGTCGCCTGTCGTTTTACTGGTTTTGGTTTTTCCTGTTGTTGGCTGGTGTGGCAGCTGCTTTGTTTCCATTTTCATTTTCATTGGCATTGAATAGATCAATCATGGACGGGTTCGATGGTATTCGGTTCGCCGTACAAATACTTCAATGATGACCAATTATTCACCAATAAAACTGTCGACCAAATGTCATGAATTGAACTTTTACTTGCTGCGCTAAGCGGAAATCAATCGCAAATTGCTGGGAAAGTGATTTTGAAGAGTCTATGGAATCAATTACGAGAGCTTGAGTTTTTTTTTTATTATTTATTTCAATGATTTAATGGAAAATGTGTTGCTAAAGTGTGCGCACGTTCGACGGCAGATTGATTGGGAAATTCATTTAGAATTATTGGCAATGACATGTTAAGGGTTTTTATGGCTTTAATTGATTGTTAATTATTCCTTTGAGTTTGGTAAAGTGAATGCCAAAGTTTTTTTTTATCTTCCTTTCTTTGAAGCTTACAATTAAGCCTATTTTCATATAATTTATATTGCCAGCCTTTTGTTAAGTAACTCCATGGCAAACTTTTCCAATAAATCAATCATAATATATTAAATTTTGTTATAAACCCCGACATCAACTTAAATGCCAACGCTTCTGGTCCCTATGAGACCCAAACCCAAACCCAAACCCTTTCACTTCCGACCTATTGGCTTTGCATATTTTTTTTTGGGGTCAAAGTTTGTCGGGGCTCGATTTGTTTTGCTTTTGTTTTGGTTTTTCCGTTTTTTGTTTCTGTTTAATTTCGTATCTTCCGCCCACGCAGTTCACAGCGGGTGGAGATGAAAAAAATAATATAAAAGAAAACTAAACCGAACCGAACTGAACAACAATTTAATGCAACATCATCGAATAAATTGTTTGGCCGGACTTGTTGCAGTTGTTGTCTTCAGTCAACAACAAATTGATATTGTGTGGGCGTATTGTCGTAACGCATTTTATACAAAAACGATTTTTCTCAGATTTTCTCGTTTTTTTTAGGGTCTCCTCGGCCAGTTTAATTTGTCTGTCTGTCTTTCTGAATTGTTTTTTTCTGATCATTTAAACGCTGTCATTGGGATCGTGTTTGACTCTTGGCCTTAGCTTAAGACAATTGTGAGAGGTGTTGCCGGGCAAATCAAATTGCGGCTCAATAAACGGCGAAGCAAATTACAATTGGGATTGTTCAGTTTTGTGTTGCAGTTGCAGCAAAGCGGCAACAGCGACAGCAATTGCAACACGTCGCCAACAGCTGTGTCAGCTGGCACTTGGCTGTCTGGCGATTTATCTATCTAACATCTCGCGGGGACACGCGGCGTATGCGCAATTGCCATTTAATTAAAAATGATTTGCACAGCCAGGCGAAGCAAATTTTTGTTGATTTCATTTATCATTTATTTTTGTTGGATTTTTATTTTGGATTTGTTTTGCAGCAGGTGCTCAACGGAAATGGCCTAAACAAAATGTTCACACGCTCGCCGGTCCACGACTTTGACTTAATGGCAATTAAGATGGGATGGCCAAGACCACGCACTTTGCTGGGCAATCTAATTATAATCATTAGCTGAGCAAACACTGGAATTCTCATCTCTATATATATATATCTTTGTATTTATACAATTTTTGCATAGTCCCCGAAGAGTCAGTGGGCAATAAAAAATTATACAAAAATATCCAGTAGAGAGAGGAAAAGCAAATAAATTGCCAGCGGACCAGGGCGTCTTCATTAATGATAGGAAGTGGAACGAACGAACGGCGACGAAGAGGCCAAAATCCATTTGACAACATAAAATTTTGTTTCAAGCAACTGCCGCCACTGGGGGCATTAATACCAACGGCTAATTAACTTGTTGTTGAGCTCGTAAAATAGTTTGGCCGCTCATCAAGATAATAAAGGCCCGGCCAAGTCGGCAGCCAGCCAAGTTTCGGTTTCAGTTCGACTCTTTAATTGAGCCCAGAAAATTGTTGACTTTTGTGTGGCGTCAGCTGCTGCAGTGAAAAAAGAAGCCAAAACGATTCCCTGTCACACATATATATAATATATATATATAGGTATATATTGGGCACTTCAAGAATGTCCCGAAAAGGGAACGGAACTGGGCCGAACGACCTGACTGCAGTCACTTTTGGTAATTAGATTTTCAAGTCGAGATAATGAAGTGGACATTAAAATTTTACAACCTCCGGGCTAAAACACACATTCACATGAAACCGAAAGCAGGCGAACGCATTCAATAAATTAATTACGAATTTCAAACCTTAGACTTAGACTAGCCCCTTTTTAATGCCAGGTGGGCTGAGAAGAGGGGGCTGTTAGCCACACCCAGCAATAAATATTGGAAACTGTCCCTGTGCTCTGGGCAAAACCAGATTCGGATTCAGATTCACACACATGTCTGGCTTTGGCATTTATAATGTAGTATGCATGACTCTAATTAAACCGCAATTGTTGTGTAAACTTTAAGGAATTGATTGCTCGGACACGATCCAATGGGACAGGTCGAAATGCAAGAAGTCTTGGTTGGCAATTAAGCAGCAATTGACTCGTGAGAGGTGGGCCCGACTGCAATAAATGAATCTTGAATTGCAGCCGAAATCTCCAAGGAGATGGGACCTAAATACCTATTGATTGAGGCTTAATAGCAAACAAAATTATTTATTTTTATGCATTGCCAAATCAAAGCAGAACATGGTCATTTAATTAATTTTCTGTTTAAATGTGTATTTTAATTAAAATATAAATCAGGATAGCTGCAATAGATAGCTTGATTGTAGGTCTACTTAGTTGAGCTTTACTAATAAATATATATGTGTTTTTGTTCGTTAATAAAATCTGATTTATCTTTCAATTAAAGCCTTATTAATTTACTGGATTTCTATCTAAATTACATTCTATCATTAATAAGGCAAACACATTTTTGAATGTTTATAACTGAGGCATTCATTTGGTTTATGTTTGTGATCTAGTTTTTCGATTAAACCAATTGAGGCAAAGAGCCTAATAACTATATTTAGATTCTTAAAAAAATTCCATGAAAACTCTTCGGACAATTATCTCTATATTACCCAATCAAAAGCCCCTAACGACTTTGACTTGCCATGTAAAACTGCACTATCTCGCTGTTTTATGGCCCTAGGCTCACCCCTTAATTGCCTTCAATTGAAGTGGTATCATGGCCACCGATTGATGTTGTTACTCTAGTTTTATAACCCATAACCAAGGGCCATAACTGAATATAATAAAACCCCACTATGCGGCCTTCTAATAATGATCTCCCAAGCCCATTGCCCCTCCGCAGCCAGAAATGTTGCAATCATAATTTTTGTGCTCTCCCAGCGAAGAAAATGCTTCATGCTGGGCCCAAAAGCTGATGACCTTTTGGCATTTTGCATTTTTTGCAAAACCGAAAAGAAACACACACTCGCGAAAGTCAAATGCCCCAGAGCGAAAAGCTCGGGCGCAGTATAAATAAATTTATATCATTTTTTTGGTATTCCAACTCAGCGGGTGGTCAAAAAAAAGATACTGGCAAGAAAAAACGCGCAGGTGGCTTGAACAAACTGTGCCTTAAAAATAAAACCTCAACTTTCAGACTCAAGTTAATGTTTTTAATGTTCCATAATTTGCATATTTTTTTCCTGCTGTCTTTATTTGTTAGTTTGGTTCCAGAAAAA